CCCCGCCACGCCCTCCAATCCGAACGCCAATAATGCGGTAATAATAAAGATATTTGCGGTCGGCGGCTGCTGAGCGTTTCGCTGCTAGAGCACCATGCGTGGCTGACCATGCCGGCCGGCCAGCCGACTACGACCGGACAGAAAACGAAAAAAAGAAAGAGGGAAGACGAACAAACGCCAAATAGAACGAGAAAGACGACTGCAGAGCAGCGCAGACGTCTGCCTCGCAAGACGTAAAACTAAAAGAAAATGTAAATTCGAAAATAAAAAGAAGATTGTGTTTGCTTGAAGAGCACTTACTGCGAGCAACTAATGGCACATGTCAGTGCGTGGGTACCCAGACGGGTAGTACCTGCGCCCCGAGGCACAGCCGTGCAAGGTGTAGGGAGCGCGCAGGTACACTCGGTGTGGGTGGATCCAATCTCAAGGGAGGACACTCACGGGTTAATTGTGGTAGGGGGACCACCCAGAGCCACGCGAGTGTGCGAGGCAGTGCGCCCGACCGACGCCACGCCACACTAGAGTAATCCGTTTCGATTGGGATCCTCGCCCCAGTCGCGCTACAACACTGCTGGACAGCTCTCCTCCGTTTGAAGGGGAGTGTCGCATGCATTTCGACATGGACAGGCTGACGTGCCCAAGTGTCCACCTCTCAGGGCGCAGGCCATTCAGCAGGACAAACATCGTGTGTCCCAACCGTCTTTGACGCGCGCCTGTGTCTGTGTGTGTATGTATGTACAAGACCGCGCCCGACCGCTCACACCTAACTGTACCTAATACTTCCGTCGACTGTGGTACCTCTCTCGCTGCCCACATAACTTAGCCCTCATCTCGTTTGCGGCTGCTTTACCCGCCGAACAAAAAAGGAAAGGTAGCAACGTGTACCCCAAACAATGTGCCAAGGATAGCAAAAGTATTGGTTCGGTGCCCACCAACTATTTCCTTTGCCTTTAAGTTTATTGCGTCAAGGAACACCCCACACAATTTCTCCACGTAGTTTTGCGCTGCCTGTTTTTTGACGTCTGCGTTTTCTCTGTCCGCAGGACCCCTACCTTGACGTGCCCGAGGCGTCGACCTACGAGCTGAGCGCGTGCTACAACGTGAGCGTGGACTGCCGCTCGGGCGACATGGTGGCGCGCATCAAGACGAGCAAGCTCTTCTCTGGCAAGATCTACGCCAAGGGCTCGCCCAACTCGTGCGTCCAGGACGTGCAGGGCTCGCTCGACTTCGAGCTGCGCATGGCCTACGACGACGTCGAGTGCAACGTCAAGCACCAGGGCCTGGGCCGCTACCTCAACGACGTGGTCATCCAGCACCACGACACGATCGTCACCAGCTCCGACCTGGGGCTGGCCGTCACCTGCCAGTACGACCTGACCAACAAGAGCGTCTCCAACGAGGTCAGTACCGCGCGGTCACGCGCTGCCGTCCCCGCGGAGGCGCGAGACTCGACTGTGTGCTGCCATTTACCTGAGGATATCCATTCATGTGACGGCCTGCGCCTTTTACGACATCCTTTATTTATTTTTAATTAATGGGACGTAAGGCGGAGGCTGTCCCACCTGAATGGCTCCCTCGATGGCTCCACACCTCCAACGAGGATGCAAAACGGCAGAAAAATAACCCGCCGTTGGCACCCATCCCGAGTCTCGTGTCCGCCATTGGCGCGACCCAAATGTATATATAGCCTGCTCAATCATATACATGTACATATGGCTTGGTTATTTCTTTTATGGTTCTTGTTTTCCTGCGAATGCCTCGTGCGGTCACACTAGACTTGGTAAAAAGGTCGTCAGAGGTCAGTAGCTTCACTCGCACGCGCAAAAACGTCCGAAAAAAGGCCATCAATACTAGGCATAAATTCACGGCAAAGACTTGCGCCCATAAATCTACGCAGCTTCAGAGACATTTGCTGTGTGTGTGTGTGTGTGTGTGTGTGTGTGTGTGTGTGTGTGTGTGTGTGTGTGTGTGTGTGTGTGTGTGTGCACGCGCGCGCATGTGCATTTTACCGGCGGGCAGCCTAGCCAGCCCAAGCAACCCGCGACCCAAGTGTGGGCAACCCTCCGGTAGCATCGCCCGCGCGCGCGCACACACACACCGCGCATTGAAACACACACCCAGGGTGGTCTGAGATGCTCTTCATTAATATCACGTTGAGCACGCCACGTTTAGCAGACTGGTTACTTTTTATATCTATATATTTATAAAGGACGCGAGCGCTTTCGAACGAAAAAAAAAGTAAACATTTCACTTCGGGCAGGAAACGACCAGGTCATTAGGTTCCACGTCTCACAGAAAAAAAAAGAGACAAAGAGGTCGTGGGCGGAGCAGCGCGCCAGTGACAGACAGAAAGGGCGCGCGCCCGCGGGGAGTAGAACCCTCCACCGTCGATCACAATGAGGCGTTTCAGCTCTAAATTACGTCGACGAGCTTTGAAAAAGACGTTATCACACCCCCGATAATAAAATAATGACAATGCAATGCTCCGCCGAGGCGACGAGAGTAAGGACGGCTGGGGTGACTTGCAACTCTTCAAATGACTGATGACAAAGTCTAGTTGTGACCAACGAAGGGGAACCGATTAAACAGCTGTATATAAAATGCTTCGGTGTTTACCTTTCTCGGTGCCTGACCCAGGATAAAAAGCAGTGCTCAGTGGACCACGCGACCCAACCCCATCCCAATCCAAAGTCTTAAGACTCAATTGAGAGAAATTCTCTTTAAAACTTAATTGCGGTGATGAGTGGTGCAGCTTTGAATCAGCGGCGAAATGTAAAGAAAATATGGTTCAGGTAAAAGTTGTGCAAAATGTATATATAAGCAGAACTGGAACTACATTTTCGTATTTACATGTGTTTTATTGAATCACTTCACTGAAAAAACTAAAGTGACATGTGTCACGTTTCTTGATGCACTCTCCCTGTGATGCCCTGTGATGCCCCCTTTTACGTGGAGGAGCAGAGAGCAACATGAAACGTTCTCTCCTGCCTGAGAGTACATGACCACATGTGACGCATGTCACAATTGTTTTTTCAGTGATTTGTATACTACGCATCACGCCAAAATTTATTCTTCTTACGCGATTCAAGGCGAGCATCGCAATATTTTTTTTTCACTTCGCTTGCCCCTGATGGAAGGTACATCCACCATCCACTCACGCGAGACATGATTCGAGTGTTCCTTTCATGAGCGAGTCAAGCCCTTCTCGCCTACACGTCCGCCCCACTAACTGTTCACCGCCTAGGTCAGGTGCCGCCGCTCAGCGCGCTGACGTGCACGTGTAAAGCTGCTGTTGCTAATTGCAGATTGTGGGTTACCAGGTGGACCTTGGCGTGCGCGGCGAGGTCCGACCGGTGCTCACCGAGGAGGTCAACGTCGACTCCCCCAACGTGGCCATGAAGATCACCGACCGCCGCGGGAGCGAGGTGCTCCCCGCAGCCGAGGTCGGCGACCCGCTCGCCCTCCGCTTCGAGATCCTCGACCGCCACTCGCCCTACGAGATCTTCGTGCGCGAGCTGGTCGCCATGGACGGCGTCGACTCGTCCGAGATCGTCCTCATCGACTCGAACGGCTGCCCGACCGACCACTTCATCATGGGCCCGCTCTACAAGTCCGTCGAGTCCGGAAAGGTGAGTTTGGGGAGATCAACGCGCCGCGTCGGGAATACGTCGGGAGCACACATTGATTACAAATAGCGAGGCGCTAAAAAGTAAGCCGGCTGTGATGTGAAGGGGCCGGGCGGCCGGTCTGCGCCGAGCATGCTCGACAAGTGCACTGACACGAGCAGAGGTCAGGCGCAGTCAGGAGGCCGTAAAGATGGCCGACGAGAAGGGGCGTTCGCTTCAAATCAAGCACCGGCCTGCGCGAGTGTGCGTGTGTGTGTACACATAACTGTCAGCTCGCAATTAAAGCCTAATTAATTCATGTCCAATTGGCAAAACCAACATTAAAGCGCACGCACGCCGTTACAGTGGCCACCCGTGCTGGGGACCGAGCCTCAAGGGCCGGGAGTGCGCAGCGCCGCACAGCGCTCCGGGGGCCGTAAGTCTTCCAGAGTAACGCGCTCAACGGGTAAAACGCCAAATTAAACGATCGTCCAAGGCGCTGGGCTGCGCTGGGCTGCCTGCTCAGCGCTGGCCGGCCGCCCCGGCCGGGCCGGGCCCGCTCGATCCCACATACGCCCCTATGGCCGGCCGGCCGCGCGGGTTGCCGTGGCAACTAACAACTGGCGCTGCTACCGGCCGCGCACTACTCACCAGGATAGAGGGACTCTTTCAGGTGAACGCTTCGCTTCTAACGAGAAACAGACCACTTATTGTGGTGGTGGTGTGTCGGCCGCGCGCGCGCTGTGTGTGTGTGTGTGTGTGTGTGTGTGTGTGTGTGAGCGCTTGACCGCGAGAGGCGCCCGGCCGGCAGCCCCCTACACTCGCTACACTGCCCGTAATAACGGAGCTTTACGAGGCCCGTCGACGCGGCGGCCACTTTACAGCGTTAATTTTAAAGCGGCGCCTCCTCACTGCTAGCCTCCCCCATTACAGTATCAAAAGGCAGACGGCGGGTGGCAGAGGCGGCGACCCCCGCGAGCCGTGTGGCAGACCGTCCGGCGGCCGGGTGCGATTCACGCCGACGAGTTGCGTGCACGTGTACTACGCTGCAGATGTCCTACTGCTGGCCATTGAGAGAGTGTAGTGGAAAGGGGTATTTTTGAGCCAGTCCATAAGACTGTCTCTACACTCTAAACTATATTAACTGGAAAATTTGCCTAGCAACTGCTCAAGTTTAAACTTGTGCTGTTGTATGTTATCAAGAAATTTCTTCAATATTACTAAACTTTTTCCTAGTATTATAATTACTGGACTAGGAAAAGGTTCAGCACTGCTGAGGAATTTCCTAATAATAATATACAACAGCACAAAACTTACGTGCTGAAGTAGAACTGTAAAAGGTTTCGAGTGTACCGGAAGGCAAGGTGCCCCCCTCGCCTCCCTCCCCCCATCTCACTCTTTCCCCCTTAGCTGCTTGGCCCGGTTTGGGCAGGCCACGCGTCCCAGACGGTGGGCGCGGCTCGGTGCAGTTCGCAGCTTCGCGAACTGATGCACCTTCACCCCCGCGGACAGTTTTGCAGCTTTTTTGACTGGTCTGGCAAAGCGAGCTGCACAAGAAACTAAGAGGAGGAGGAGGGTGGCTCCGGGGGCTATGGTCGAGGGGAATGTCTGTAACGGCTGCGGCCGGCGGGGCGCGAGTCATTAGGTGAGCTCCCTGCTCCGCGGGCTGACGCGCGTGCGGCCGCCAGGCGCATCGGACAATGACTCGAGCGCAGCGCCGCGGCGATGAGTGAATACTGCGGCCGGTCTATAAAGCGCACGGGAGCGCGAGGAGTGCATCTGCCGGTCTGAGCAAGAGAGCGGCAAGACAACGGGAAGGGGGTCGGTCGCGCCGCCGGGGGAAGAATTCGGTCGGACCGGCACCCTGATCATGCTAGTCGCAGCAGAGCGCATACCGGATGTGGCGGAGAAAGCATTTCGGAGCGTTTGACATTCTGCGGCCCCCCTCCCCCTCCCCATACACAAATCGCGTCAAATCGCATCGCGATTGCAGCCGGAGCGGGCGGGTGACTGAGTGTGGCGTGGCGGTGCGGTGCGCGATGCCAATCGGGAAGACAGAGCTGCTTGACCCGGCCAAACGGCCAGTCACACAAGGGTCCTTTCATTTCGCGCAGGCGTGCTTGTATTCCTCCTGGGCGTGGTGGGGCGGGGTGGGG